CTAGATGGCCGCTTGTTTACCTTCAAGCTTTTAAGACCCCAGATGCTATATCTTTTGATAGCCGGGCACCATCAGCTTTCTTCACCACATTTGCTTATTCTGCCTAGCCATTTTCTGTGAACTTTGTGAAGGGCTGTCATAGTATGTCAGTTGACTGGATTGTCCTTTGAGATGATGCTACGACCTCCCGTACTTCTGTTGTAAATACTAGAGAGTGGACACTGTGCTGTTCTTTACTTTGACCTCACTGAGACTCCCGGGGTGGTACAAACAGTGGCATCGACTGCTAATTGAGAGGTTGAAGGTTTGATGGCATCCAGCAGCACCTTGGAAGAACGGTCTGATGATCTACTTCTGAAAAATCAGCCATTGAAAACCATGTGGAGCCCAGTTCTACTCTGACACACCTGGGGTCCCCATGACCTTGACTCATGGGCACCTGGTTTGCTGGTTTTATGTGTCTTGTTCTGTACCTTGAACTTGATCTTTTTGTCTAACAGATCAATTCGGACATTGAGATGAGTCTGTAGGATCTTCTTCAGTTGGGGAGCGTGGGCATCTGTATAGTAGTCGTTGTTTGAGTAGCCCTCATTTAGCCAATCCCTGATGATAGTAGGTACGTAGGTTGCTTATAATTTTTTTATATATTCTAAATAGTGCTGTAATAAATAAGTTGTGTTTATATAATATCCTGTGTTTAATAGATCCATACCTCCTACTTTCGTTACTCATCCTGCCATGCCATATTTTTCCTTATCACTTACCTATTTAATGAACCCTACTCGGTTTTTTCCCAAAATGTTCATTTACTACTTGCCTCAGTATTCAGCCTTTAAGAAAACCAAGAAATCGGTTGGTGTCTGTGTTTTCAAGGATCATTAGATAGGGTCAGGAATGTACACCCCTGACTGTGAGAAGCCTGTCACGAGACAGGGACTGAATAAGGCAGGGAGCTCCCTAGCCACTGCATACACAGTCCATGGTAGTGACTGCCTTTTGTTCTGCAGTGCTCCGTACAGTGCTGTAGCTATAGTAAGTGTGCAGACAGTCCCTTTATGTTCAGCCAGACAAAACAGATCATGTGGATAAGATGACATTTTAAAAAGGGAAACCTCACTGAGGTGGTAAATTGTGTTTGTTTCCAGCTCTGACACAGACCCTGGAGATGAGACAGACCTTCCAAAAGCAGCTGCAGGAGATAATGTCTGCAACATCAGTAGTGAAACCCCAAGGGCCGCACACTTCCCTGTCAAGGAGTGCTTGTAACAGCGCCTCTTCAACCCCCGACAGCTCTCGCTCCGTCCGCAGTGGGCGAAGCAGGGTCTTGGAGGCCCTGAGGTATGTATCTGTTGCGGACAGGACTGGAAGCTGATGAGAGGAAACCCACGGCCATTGAGCTGAGTAGCCTGACTCTCAGCAGCCCTGGTTCGGGTTTCCAAGGCCGGCAAGCTTTACAGGGCCAGATGGCCTCCTCTTTCTCCCGGGTGTGAGAGGATCGCAGCTCCTTACAGCACAGTTTGAGGAGCGAATATGTAGATAAGCAGACTGTCAAGGCCAGTGAAAAGTACTGCCCTCTAACCTAGTCCCCTAAACCAGTGTTAAATTTGTAAGGAACCTCTGCAAAATTTCTATTAAAAATATCTGTCTAAAATTATACACACATTGAGTAGTTCATACTAGTTGAGTTGACAAACAAAGGTAATTACAGATATTAGTATGCTGTGACTTGAGTTCAGTAACATAAATTTATCATTTTTTCCTATTAAAGGAAAAATCTCTAGTGATTAATATTATAGGACTTACATCTTGACTCGATGAATTTTGTGTTTGTCTTATGCTAACTATACTTTATGAAGGCAGTTTGTCTGGAAATTGAGTCAAAGAGACTTTTTGATGAATGTCTTATTGTAGATATTTATAGATGTACATGTTCTTGAAAAATCTTAGGTTGTCAGAGTAAATAAATACACTCAGGATAAAAGACCCCTCTTTTGTGAATGCGCTCTTTGGGTTCATCAGATGTTAGTGGTGAGCACACATTGCATTTGGACTCTTGAGTGTGGATTTTGTTAAGTCAATCTCTTTATCTAAGATCCCTGGGTGATCACCTTCAGTGGTTGGTTTGGTGCACATGGTTGGTTCTCTACTAAGCAGAAAGCTGGCAATTTAAACCCACGTGGTATTACTGTGGAAGAAAGGCCTGGCCGTCTACTTCAGGAGTAAACTCTGTGAGTGCAGTTCTACTCTGAAGCTCATGGAGTGGCCACAAGTTGGAATAGCTACAGTGGGCTAGCAGGCTGTCCAGTTATTTTAAGTTGTCATTTTTATTCCTCAGGCAGTCTCGTCAAATAGTACCTGATATCAACACAGAGCCCTCGCAAAATGAACAAATCATTTGGGATGACCCTACTGCCAGGGAGGAGAGGGCCAGGCTTGCCAGTAACTTGCAGTGGCCCATTTGCTCCACACAATGCTCTGAGCTTCAGGGGAACATTCAGAACTCAGAGGGTTCCCCTCTCCAGGATCCGCTACATGACGCAGAGGTCACTGAGCAGGGTAAGGAGAGAAGTCGATTCTGTTCACGTGGAGTGCATGGGGACCTCTTATAAAGACGCGAATAAGCAAAGAGGGGTTCTCTGAGTTGTACGTGCAAACAGAAATTTACTGGGAATTAATGATTTGGGATCAGACTTAAGAATCAGAAAAAAAATGTCCAATGTAGATAAAATTACATAAGTTTAAAATGTGTGCATCACTTTGTATTTGTTTAGTGTAGTAGTCTTTTTAAAGGATATATCTGTTAATGTTGCACCTTCTTTTTTTTTTTTAATAATGTTTCCTGCTTTATGCCTGCATCTTTAACAATGGCTAAAGTAAAGAAAATGCTACCTTTTTGTTACCAGGACACTGACTTGAAACACACACGTGCGTTATTTTTTCATTTTCTTTTAGGGACTGGACATTTAAAGTTAAGCGCAAAGACAAACTTTTGGGGGAGGGGGACCTATACATACTTAAGTATAAAGCTGAAGTGATTTCTTTTTTTTTTTTTAATCGTTTTATTAGGGGTTCATACAACTCATCATAATCCACACATACATCAATTGTGTAAAGCACATTTGTACATTCATTACCCTCATCACATTTGCTCTCCACTTAAGCCCCTGGCATCAGGTCCTCATTTTTTTCCCCTCCCTGCCCGCTCCCCCCTCCCTCATGAACCCCGGATAACTTATAAATTATTATATGTCATATCTTGCCCTGTCCGACATCTCCCTTCACCCACTTTTCTGTTGTCCTTTCCCCAGGGAGGAGGTCACATGTAGATCCTTGTAATCGGTTCCCCCTTTCCAACCTACTCTCCCTCTGGTCACTCACACCACTGGTCCTGAAGGAATCATCTGCCCTGGATTCTTTGTGTTTCCATTTCCTATCTGTACCAGTGTACATCCTCCGGTCCAGC